TATATATATATATATATATATATATATATATATATATATATATATATATATATATATATATCGTTCCGTGTACCGGTCAGCTGACGGACCGGTACATACCGCCCATACCGGGCGATATTATTCGAAATTGCATACCTTGGTACCAACAACACTAAAGTAGTTCTATTCAGATTATCCTCTAATTAAGAAAGAGAGATTGTTTTCTAAATATTGCATGAATATTGTGGGCTAACATTTGTTCTCCACAAAAGAAGAAACTCATTAAGGAATCACATCAACAGTAATTCCTCGCACTAGGAGGGAAGGTGGGACCCTGACGTGTCACTGCAGTCCCAAAACTTTGATCGGTTCCATGTTAAAAAATTTCACAAAATTCCTAACTAACAATCTAGTCTATGATGCAATTATTTGTGTGCTAAGGAGTGTAATGGATGCCTCCTAAAACTGGACTGCAGAAAAGATCATTGACAAGATACATTGGGACTTCATCCGTGACACTTTAGAACAATAAGGGATTCAGGATGAAAGTTTACCTCCAAGTTTTCCAAGTCAGCTGTCTCAACCAATGGTGCACCCAATGCACCAGACTCAGACAAAGGAGATCATATTTCCTTCCTCTGTTTTGTTCTTGCTGCAGATCCTCAATATTATCTCTTGCTAAAGATGTTGGCATCATTAGATACCCAGTATCTATAGATTATATTATCTCACACCAAATTGCCGATAACTTATCACAAAATCTATTTAAGATTGACATATTGCTGGCCCAAAATTAGTCATGTTCTATCTTGAATCTAAAATGGGTTTATGTATTAATCTCAAGCAAAGCAATCCACAGTAACTTGGATGGTTGTTCTAGGTTCAGATGTTTACTTGATTGCATTATATCCAATTTTCCATTGCATATCGGTTTTGACCAGACAAACAAAACAGATCAGATTAGAAGATGAGTAAACTCCTTTCCTTTGCAGATAAAGCTTGTACAAGTCAATTCTGTCATGGTAACCAGTAACCAACATATTCAAACCTCTAGGCATTTCCTTCCTCTCCTAGTTGATCAATGAAACTGGCTTAAACCGTATTGTGGAAAGGCTAAAATGTCATTAAAGACTATTTTGCTTAGTTAATCGGTCAATTATTTATTAAAAGAAAAGGTAGACAGTCATAAGGAATTATTTGCCCTCAAAAGGTTGCTGTCCCTTCCAAAGATCTTGTGTTCTGCAAATACCTCCAAAGAAGAGATACTACAGGACTTCTCTTCTACAGTCAGATTATTCCCCATATTAAATGGGGCATTGCCTCTCCAAACAGGTTTTCAAAGTGCCTTCCATGTTCATTTTAAAATCTGGGCACAGGCACCATATCAGATTTTGGAAGTATAATCTGCTTGGACGAACACCCTCATTCAACAGATTCGTCCCAGTCTCAGTAGCATCATTTAGAATTCATCAATTTCTGTAGCTTCATCTTCCATAGAAATACTTCAAGTCTAAGCAGTTACTCTGGCTTCTTATTTAGCAGATGGCATAACTTCCAACTCCACTAGCTTCCCCCAATGAGAAGGCACAATTTTTCTCCCTCTCTAGATTTCAGAATTATTTTGAGACATTGACCACCTAAAACCTTAGTAGTTGCTTCTTTCTTTAGGTTTCTCAAAGTCACGGGATTCTCATGGAAGTTCTTCTATATTCCCAAGGCCAAATGTTATATATGGCTCGTTGCTAGTCAAACTATTGATCAGACTCTTTTTAACTGCACCTTTTGCAGCTCAAGTACAAAAGCCTCCAAGTAGAGCTTCTACTCTCAAATGTTTTTCGATTTCAATCTCACAAATTTGGGATTTCTAACACAAGAAAACATCTCCCATATACAGAAGTTTTGGAGATGGCTGCATCCACCATGCTGGTGAATTTGAAAAGAAAAGAAAACAATCCAGTTCACTTTTTTATTTCTCTTTATTTTTTTTCTATCATTAGCTCTTTTCTCTCTTTTTCCATACCTGTACTTAGTTTATACACCAAACATGATAATCCTGCAATCTTGTTGCTTTGCCAGAAAAAAAGATCATATTCTACTTGATTACAGACAATAGTGTCTTACAGACTTACATGGATCTGGCTAATAAAAATATTGTATAAAGCAAGGTTCGCCGTACCGTACCGTACCGGCGTTTCGACCCACGCTCGGTACGGTACGGTACGGGTGTACCGACCGGTATACCGAGGTGTACCGAGCGGTACACCCGGGTGTGCCGAGCACTGTAGCAGTGCTACAGTACTGCTACAGTACCGGAACGGTAAGAGGCGGTCCGCGTACCGAAAGTCTGTCGTACCGGGCGGTACTGTTCGGTACGGCAAACCATGGTATAAAGAGATTACCAATATCTCTAAAATTGGAGTCCTCAAACCAGTTTTAAGTTTTAAATAATCTGGAAGCAATATAATCAATCACAGGAAGGCACCATATTATTTGATTGATGAGTGGCATGGAAACAGAGAGAACATATAATGAGCAAAAGCACACACTTTGTGGAAAAAAGTTTAGCCAAGAAGAGAACTGTCTGTAATAGATGCGATTATAAGATAAAATTCATTATCTTAGCAGGACATAATTATGCTAGGCATTCCATTTTTCACATTCTGCAAAAGGTTAATCGATTGAATCACAAGCAATCCCATATGTCTCAGGCACTAGCAAGATAAAAACTGAGGTTCAGAAGCTGTTCGACAGTTAGCAATTTGTAGAGAAATTTAAACAGAGATCTGTAAATGATTAAGAATCCATGTCTACCATGATGATATATCACATTAACCACAGGAAAGTTCACCTGATACAACTCTGAGGCAGGATATCTTTGGAGCATTTGCTGGAACTTTGCTTTAGGAAGTTCCAATAGGTCTTGTAATGACAAGATGCCTATGTTGTTCAGATGGTTCAGAATATCCTCATTCATGCATGGTAACATCCACAACGATGAATCTTTTCCAAACCATAAACCCTGAGTTAAACGGACATATGATTAGGAAAAAAAAGAATATACTCTCTTTTGGCTAACAATCAATATATCCTAGTAGATAGATAACCAAGCTTTGCCTTTCTAGAAGCAGAATAAAGGGTTAAAAATTTAAAAAATATTAGAGAATTTCTTATTAGTTAAATTTGTCTCAGGAAATCTTCTGTATTATTTATATAATATGTGAGGGAAAAACTCCTTAGTTCCTAACCACATATTTGTACCATGAACTGATGAAGAGAGGCAATGCACTATGTCTCTCCCCCTTCGTGGTTACCCTTGCATTTCGTACTTCAACGTGTTCTTTTTTCCTTTTGATCCAGTTTATGGTCCATATATTTTTGGTGCGCCAATATTGCCAATCCAACAAAGGATCATTATGGGTTTAGGTAACAAAATTAAAATTCTTGGTTCAGTGAAAGGTAAGAAAAGTGCTGAAAGTTGAAGACAAGAAAATTACATATTGGATAAAGCACAAATATTCAACAATTTAATCAGCTGATATGTTGTCAGAGGACATCTTCCAACAGGAGAACCCACACCTCCGAAAAGTGGTACATTAATCATGCCATAATAATTCTTCTTTTGCATCCTTTTGTACCGTGTGTGGTTGCATGGGAAATCTTATTGACAACTGTTTTCAAATCCTTGATAAGTAAAGAAAAAAAGCGAAAAAGTTTTCCCAATTTTCAGGAGAACTTTTCATTGTCATGTTCCTTTGAAAGTGACTTTCACAAAGAAAGCAATTTTAGTTTTAGCTGCATTTGAACATAAGAAAAAAGGAACTTCTTTCCACTACCCAAGTAACTTCCCGGAAAACCTTTTCAGCCTTTTCCTAGTATTCATAGTTATACACAAAATGAGACAGCATGAAAGCTCCCAGACATGCCACAAATGGTTCTTCTATCATGCTCTTTTTTTCAAGTGTTTCAAATTTATTTGAATAAGTATGCAATCCATCTAGTTAATGATCCCGAGCAGATTACTGTCCTTGGGCTTAATTACCATAAAGAATGTCAATAAGAAACCATCCTGAATCTAGTTTGATGTGTGTGCTGGAACTGAGTATTAAGCAAGCATTGTCATCCAGTGATGGCACTATATGTGGTTCCACTTTAATGATTGCATATTCTTGATAGTATCCAAATTCTAGAATATAAAGTTAAAGGTTTACTTTCAGCTTCTCGATGGTTTAGTGGTGTGGGTGCTCATCATCTATTTTTGGTTAAGGAAATCCATGCATCTTCTCAAGTTATCACTACACATATCTCAACTTAGTTAATGAAGTCAGCATGTCCTCTGGAAACCTCCTAAATTTTTAGGGCTAGTTCTTCACTCATATTGTTTGTCATGACTCCTCAATGCATAAATATATCCACCAAAACAAAAGAAAAATTACATATTTCACGCTGTTTCCCTAACAAATAATTGCATAACTTCTATGACTCTGACACCAAATTCATACCTAGTTTCCTACTTCCTGGATGTGCATGTGTTTTAAGTCTTCATACCTGATCTTGCTTACATGTTCCATGCATCTGGTCAACGAGAAAACTCCATGTCATTTAATGAGATACTTTCTGCATTGACCTCTAAAAACCATGAACTAAATGCAACAATTTATAGAGCATAACCCACCAATAATAACTATGATTCAGTCCTCAGATTCCTTGTCCATCAGTTTGGAATGAAAAGAGGTGCCTTGCATTCTGTTGTCAATTGACTAGTCTGACTTGACTGCCACTGCATGGTTCTCATTGCTCCCTAGATTATCTATCTGACTCTATTTTGATATGCCAAGTACCACTATGTGATAAATTACAAGTATTATTTAATTATGTGTCACTAAATATGCCAAGGCCTTTGATCTTATTGTAATATATTATATGGCCACTTATACAAATTCACAAATAAGACAATTTAATGAAAATGACAACTATACATGTTTATAAGCATGTATCATATGCACATTAGTTTAAAACTGAGATAGTGACTATTTAATGGAAAATTATCTCCTAGTAATTGACATATGGAAAAAGAAACAGAAAATAAAAATGCCACCTGCATGACCATCTGCAAAAGATGCATACAAGTCATTGTGCTTGAGAGCCATCCACTGTTGGCACATATATCTATCATTGCTTGTATGATGCGTATACTTTGATCAAGAACAGATTTTAAGTCTGTGACATAGTCAGTGACTGGCAATTCTATTCGAGAGAAATGTGCCTGCAAGAAGGAAACTCAGGATAAGCAAACTAGAAAGAGCACTGCAAGGTGGTGATAAAACTCAGAAGCGATATCTATACAGAAAAAAATTACTTCATCATGAAATGTTAAAAATGCCACCAACCTGAAAGAGTAAATTTGCTTTCACATGTGGATCATCAAGGTGGTGTTCATCCACCATGTGTGGCACCTTTTCAGCTAGTGTTTTATTGATATTTTCCTAACAAAATGAAAGAGAGATCAGAAATTCTTCAGAGATCGAAGAACAACTTTAGATTCTTAAAAGACAAAGAACGAATTATCTGTTGGTTTCTGCATCAACATGAACAGAGCAAATTAAGCCCGCAAAAATGCATGAGAAGCAGAAATAATCTGAGCCCCTGTCCAGCAGCGAAGGAGATTAATGAATCCTTGATCATGCAAAAGCTATCAATGCCGTACAGACAGAAAGAATAATCTTATAAACTAAGACTCTCTCTCTCTCGGCAGTGGTAATGGTGGGGAGGTTGGTTAGAAATATGTGATTCTTCTTCAGATCCTCTGGTACTCCTTATTCTCCTCTTGTTTAGAAAGCTTCATAACAAATTGTCAAATTTTGCTGCAGAGAAGTCCGCACACATATATTGGAAAGTTGGAAACAAATATTAGTAATTTCCTATTACGAACAAGCCATAGAAGCATCTTTTGCAGCCACAATATACTGGACATTATTACCAATAACAAAACCTATCTGAGCATATTATTTCTATGCTGTCAAAATCAATGATCCAATTTCCAATGGTACAGAGTTGGCTACAGGAATGGAATGTTCAGTAAGAAGGGATAAGAAAAATACCAAATACAGAGAATCTGCTGACATGACAAAGTAGTAAACGATATCAGAGTAGGCTTTTTGGACCAATAGTTCAGATTTAATAAATTAATATGTCAAAGGATGGATCATGACAAATGATATCAGAGTCAACCTAACATTAGGCATGATGAGAGAATCAAATAGGAAAAAGCTATTGTGTACAGGATTAGAAATATGTCATGGCGTGAAAACACCACTGTGTTGTGCCTCATGTGCACCATACTAAAGTTTCAGTCTGGGTTATGTTTGGACCATGACGAGAATGTCCAACCCCAAATAGGAAAGATTATAACTTTAGTCCAACATAAGAGGTTGATAAAGATTTGGCTTATGAGTGTTTGGTGATGAGTGTACTAGGGTTAAGAGTGACATAGGCTCAACAAATTGATGTGTTAGTTATTCTATTGGGCCAAGATGTGATAATTTTGATGCTATATATGTAAATACTAGTTATGATAAATGTGATAGAGTTTACCTTTTTAAACATGATCTATCATGTTAATAAATTAATAATCACAATACATCAACTTCATCCATTTTACTTGAAAGATTAAGATCCTTGAATCAATTGCACAAACTAGATAAGACTTATTGGATGTTTCAAATTTAAAAAATACTAATGCTCCATAAGAGATTAATTTGGAGAAGGAAAGATGATACAAACTTCTGTCCTAGAGAAAATAGGTTAAGGATCATGCAAAGCATACCTCGTTATGTCGTACAGGAAGCTCATCAAATTCAGAAGCAGCAGAAAGAATATGCAAAAACACCTAAAAATATTTTTTAATCAGAAGTTAAATTAATATAAATCATTTTTCACTGATGACAGAAGACACACACAAAGGCCAAACATGTATTAATTTTCTTACTTCAAGTGAAGTACTGGGACCTATGTTTGACCCAAACATTGACACTGTCATATAGCTCAGGTAATATTGAGATGCTATGGAGCCCAACATCAAAGGCTCCACAGAATTTTCATTCATCTTAATGCACCCACTATCCTCAAGGTCCTCAAATGTATCTTGCATTAACCTGTTCAAGAGAATTGACAAACAAGTTCAACAAACTAATAAAATAACCTTCACAAAGTGTAGCCTGGTTATCTCATGTTTTGTTTTTTAATACCTTGAGAGATAAGAATTCAAAGTACTGGCTTCAGTATCTTCTAGTCCATAATAAGATGGATTCCTAACCTGTCATGGGTATTGATGCAAGTATCATCTTTCATGAGTTCAAAAACTAAAACAGCCATACCTGATAATATGCAGCATGTTGTTAAAACAAACAGGCTATCCAAACAGCCTATTGTCTTACAGTTTGACTTGTAAATGGAACAAACAACAAGGATAGACTGATAAAATCAAATTTTAAATTACTTTCATAGCTTCAAACTAATAGATTGAGAAAGTCTTACCAGTCGACGAAATAGGTAAGTCCAAGTTAGATAATGTACTGCATCCTCCTTATGACTGATTGTGCCCGAAACAACCTCAGCGTTAATATGGTTGTGCAAATGTTCCCTCAGATTACTTTCAACAGGGAATGGTTCATAAAGAAACTGCCAGTAAATCATGCACAAATGTCATTTCTAAATTCTTATAGCCATTCCCCATGTCAGATAACAGGAAGTTCCTTAATTTAACCTTCTTATAGAAGCTCTTTTTTGGTTCATGAACCAGAATTACAGCCTTTCCATGCTGATCATATTGTGGACGACCGGCACGGCCCATCATTTGCAAAATATCAGTAATAGGGAAATCAACATATCTCTTTGCTTTTCCATCATAGTATTCAGTACCCTGCAGTGAAGATATACAGTAAGCGATGTTTGAAAAAACACCATTACCAAGTCAGAAAACCAAAGCATATTTGAACCTTAATGATGACCAGATGGGCAGGAAGATTCACACCCCATGCTAATGTGCTTGTACATACAAGTATCTGCATGCATGAACAGAAGTTCTCAGAACTTCACTAAACAAAAGTGGTGAACATGTCAAGCCAAAAAGATATGACAAGAA